CGACGTTCTACCCAGTATATACTGATAGGATAGTATTCTCCCGAACTTTGAAACTCTCCCTTGTAATTCCAGCTTTTTATATTTCTGACAGAAACAATTCTTTTACATTTTCTTATGAAAATGCGGATTTATGCCGATATCTGCTATTAAAGATCTTTTAAAGAAGTGGGAGGACGTTGTTCTGACAGAACAACGGTCTTAAAATGGCATCCAAACCAGGTTGAGGTTAATAGGCCTAGGGTTCTCTACAATTACAATGCTATTAATTACTTCTGAAAAATCATAAAGAAGACAGAAAAGCAATCGACATTGGACAGATTCTTTAATTAATTAATTAACCCCCGCAAACGGAAAAAACATGACTAATAAAAATGCAAGACCGTGTATATATGTATTTTTATTATTACATATAAATAAACGTAATAAGAAAGTATAGTCTATATTTTTTATTATTTGGAGGTCTCCAGAACGAATTAATCAAATTTTTATAGAAACCTATGGTAAATTGATAATCGGTTAACGAACAATTCGGATAACGAACAAAGTCTTGGAACGGATTATGTTCGTCAACCGATCATCCACTGTATATGCAAACATAATAAAACTTTATGAAAACTATGAAATTGGCCTGATGAATGAAGCAGTAATGGCATTAGTCTGTCACTCTAGAGGAATGATTCAAATCCAGATCAGAATTTCAAAAATTTTTACAGGTGATGAAAATGTTGATCTGGCTATTTTGGACCTTATCTTTTACCAGCTGACCGCTCTACTGTGGATCTGACCTAAACTCATGATAAAAATGTAATTAAAAAAACTGTAGTATTGAAAACCCTGGAGTGCAGAACTCCAGCATAGAGTTCAGTGTAGATGGCTGAACTGGAGAAAGATGATTGGGGTGCTGTGTGATAAGAAAATAAACTGCAAAATAAAAAGATTATACAAAATCATGGTAAGACCTGCAATGATAAACACTGCTGAGATGTGGACAATTACAAGATCCCAGGAAAAGATTAAGGAGACAGCAGAGATGAGAATACTGAGATGAATGTATGGTATGATGAAAGAGGACAGAATTAGGCATGATTACATAAGAGGAACAGTCAAGGTGGATCCTGTAAGTAAGATGCAGGAAAGTAGATTGATTGTTTGGGCATATGGAGAGAAGTGCAGACTAGGAAAGAGGATGAAGAAGTTGGAAGTGATTGGGATGAGGAAGCAGGAAGACTGAAGCTGAGATGGAGAGACAAGGTGGCAGAGGATGTGGGAGAGTGGGTATGGAGGAGAGAGGATGCCCTGGATAGAGAAAAATGGAGAAAACAGATTAAAAATGGCAATGCTGACCCTATGTTACTATGGTAAAAAGCAAAGACAGGTTAAGTACAGGTTAGGTATCATGATTATTTTAGCATTTTGACTCACAACTATCATTTTAAACTGTTAGAACAAATATGAAATTTTTATTTTTTGAATATTTNCTTTCATTTCTAGGTGTAAGGAGTTCAGGCCTTCCACATCACTTATTTTTGACATAATTTTCACCCTGAGTTAACACATTTCTCATAGCATGTGTAGATCGATTTATAACTGCCAAAATTCATCTTAGAGATTGTCCCGATCCTTTTACTTGGTAAATTTCACGTATTGCCAACTCTGTTAGTGTTTTTCCATGAGGCATTGTTTTAAATCACAAAAACTGTTTAAAATTGGTGCCACATTTTTAATAATGAGTGATACTCCGCTCTGGTGACAACTAATTAAACCAATAATTAATAAAAAATTATTATATTAATTTTATGCACCTGTGTTTATACTTTTGAAACACTCAAAAATTGAAAATCTGTGATAATTTTTTTGTAATTGTCAGATTTCTCTAAAAATTTCAGAAAATGTTTAAATTGGTGTTGTAAACAACATACTAATATAATAAATACATTACTATAGTTAATGTTTTTGCTATTGAAAAATGTTGGGTGTGTTTATAATTTTGAAACAGACTGTAATCGTGGCTACTGTATCATTAAAAATTATTTTGTTATTTTGCACAAGCAAAATAAATATATTGAAAAATATAAAAACAAAAAAATATATATTTCAAAAGTTTGTTTTAATATAAAAATTATTATGCATAGTGACGTCTAGTATCAAAAACATTTCAATGCAGAAACAAGTACATTCAGGGTCAACAGGTTAGGTCAAATGAGGTCAACACGAAAATACTCAGGAACAACACGGGACAGGTTAAAGCACACTAAAACACAAGAATTCATATTAAATATTTTGTTTCTTTCTCTTTCTTTTTTTATTTATACTGTAGTTTATTAGTTCAGTTTTAAGTATTATATTATATTTACACTGACCAGCCAAAACATTATGACCACCCCTTGTCAATGCAAGAACTGTTTCTATAGATATACAGTGACATGTATCAAAGTCATTAAACAGGTATATAATAGCTGATAGAAGGTTGCACAGTCAGTAGTAATTATAGTGTGCAAATGGATTAAAGCAGTGGATTCATCTTACTTCAACAAAAGCCAAATTGTGATAGACAGATACCTTGATGTTAGTATTTACAAAACTGCAAAGCTTGTGTACTGTTTTTGCTAATAAGTAATAAATGTCTATTAAAGGTAGTCCAAACATGGCAAAACAATGAACCATCTGCAAAACATAGGCCAATCACACCTTATTGATGAAAGAGGTTGGTGAAAGCTGTATAGTATTGTGCAAAGAAACAGGAGGGCTATTGTGGTACAAATCTCACTACATGTATTTTTTTGTGTTTTTTAGGACATGATCACAATGTATCTTCTGTTTCATTTATGCCTAGTGGTGATCATCTTGTATCATCTTCCAGAGATAAGACAATAAAAATTTGGGAAGTTGCCACTGGGTTGGTATAAATATTTAATTATTGGAACATTCTTTTAAATATTACTTTAAAAAAACTTATTGATATTTACATTAGATATTGTGTGAAAACTTTTACTGGTCATCGAGAATGGGTCAGAATGGTTAGAGTAAATCAAGATGGCTCATTGCTTGCCAGCTGTTCCAATGATCAAGTATTTGCTTTTATTGATTAAATTTTTGAATAATACTGCATGAAAAAAATTTACTGCAACATTTATTTGTCCTAATTTTAAAATTTATTCTCATTTTTATGATTTGACTTTTTTATTGAAAAAAGTGAATAATTTCAATAATGTGTTTTTAATTCAGCTAAGAATGTTAAAAATGAGTTACTTAAATAGGAAACGTTTCATTCTGAAATACAAGAATTATATGATAATCATATTTATTAATCAAGGCTGATTGTGGCATGACAATGTGGCAGTTGTCAGGGGCAGATAGCATTGGAGAAGTGTTATCCATATGGTGACTAAGGGTCAGAAACGACTGAATGGTTGACATCATCATATTTATTAAGCAATTTACTCTAAACTTAGATATTAACTGAGAGCAGTAAAACAATAAATGGTTGAATAAATGTGAATGATACAATAAAAGGATTGTTTATCAATTGACAAAATTCATTAAAATTATTGAAAGATTGAGTTAGGTATATATAATGTGTACCTGAATCTATGTTTATTTTATATATCATTATACAAATTATTTATATTGTTAGTGTTTTATTTTTGTAAAAATAATTTACAATAAATAAACAAGCTTGCTTATTGCAATTGTTTCAAAATTGAAAATTCTGAATTATTTATTATTAATTAATTTGAAACAACTCCAATAAGCAAGCTGGTTTATTTATTGTATATTATTTTTACAAAAATAAAACACTAACAATATAAATAATTTGTATAATGATATATAAAATAAACATAGATTCAGGTACACATTATATACACCTAACTCAATCTTTCAATAATTTTAATGAATTTTGTCAATTGATAAACAATCCTTTTATTGTATCATTCACATTTATTCAACCATTTATTGTTTTACTGCTCTCAGTTAATATCTAAGTTTAGAGTAAATTGCTTAATAAATATGATGATGTCAACCATTCAGTCGTTTCTGACCCTTAGTCACCATATGGATAACACTTCTCCAATGCTATCTGCCCCTGACAACTGCCACATTGTCATGCCACAATCAGCCTTGATTAATAAATATGATTATCATATAATTCTTGTATTTCAGAATGAAACGTTTCCTATTTAAGTAACTCATTTTTAACATTCTTAGCTGAATTAAAAACACATTATTGAAATTATTCACTTTTTTCAATAAAAAAGTCAAATCATAAAAATGAGAATAAATTTTAAAATTAGGACAAATAAATGTTGCAGTAAATTTTTTTCATGCAGTATTGTTCAAAAATTTAATCAATAAAAGCAAATACTTGATCATTGGAACAGCTNTATATATATTTTTTAAATACTACTGAAATATATTAATAACAAAAAATTAAATTTTTACAAAAATTTGAAAATTTTGTTTAGACTGTTCGAGTCTGGATTGTCACTACAAAAGAATGTAAATTAGAATTAAGAGAACATGACCATGTTGTGGAATGTGTTGCTTGGGCTCCAGAGTCTGCCTCACCAGCTATAAATGATGCTGCTGGAATTGATGTAAGTGCATAATCAAATTACATACTTATAATTAATTTTATTCTTTACAAATATTTAATTTTATATTTTAGAATAAACGTGGCTTTAGAACTGGACCATTCCTTCTCTCTGGATCTAGAGATAAAACTATAAAAATGTGGGATATTAGCACTGGACAATGTATTTTTACATTGGTAAGAAAATAAAAAATTGTTGTTGTTAAAAAATAATTAATAAAAAGTTATTTTATATTATTATTATTTTTTATTTTAAAATGAATTGTAATTATTCATTTTTTAATGGTTCCATTAATAAATTTAGAAAAAGCAAGCAATTTTTAGAAAGTAACTATATTTCATTAGAAGAAAATTATAAAAGCATAACATTTTAATATTGATTATCTGTTAATATATATTTTTCTATTTATTTTTAAATCGAAATTATATAAGCTTATATTATACTGTAGTTTATTAGTTCAGTTTTAAGTATTATATTATATTTACACTGACCAGCCAAAACATTATGACCACCCCTTGTCAATGCAAGAACTGTTTCTATAGATATACAGTGACATGTATCAAAGTCATTAAACAGGTATATAATAGCTGATAGAAGGTTGCACAGTCAGTAGTAATTATAGTGTGCAAATGGATTAAAGCAGTGGATTCATCTTACTTCAACAAAAGCCAAATTGTGATAGACAGATACCTTGATGTTAGTATTTACAAAACAGCAAAGCTTGTGTACTGTTTTTGCTAATAAGTAATAAATGTCTATTAAAGGTAGTCCAAACATGGCAAAACAATGAACCATCTGCAAAACATAGGCCAATCACACCTTATTGATGAAAGAGGTTGGTGAAAGCTGTATAGTATTGTGCAAAGAAACAGGAGGGCTATTGTGGTACAAATCTCACTGTTTCAATAGTGATGATGGATGAGAACGTTGAAACATACTGTTCATCAAATACTCCTGAATATAGTCTATGGAACTGCAGGCGTAGTCTTGTGCTCTGTAAATAATGTTCATTGCAGACAGTGCTTGTAGTAGGCACGTTAGCATCAAAATTGGACTATTGAGGAATGGAAGAAGATTGCCTAGCCAACAAATTACAATTTATAAATCCCTTGATATAAATCCAATTGCACACTTTGGATGCAATCATTAATCAGTCTCTCCAATTGAGTTATAGAAATGGATTAATGATGCATCACCTAAACCACATAATTTGTAGGAACTGAAGGCTCTTCTACTGACATCATGGTTCCAGCTCTCACTAGACATCTAGTAAAATTTCATAGAATCCATGCCTTACCAGATGCACGTTGTTTTGGCAACAGAAAGAGGATCAGCATCCTATTAAATATGTGGTCATAATGTTTTGGCTGATTGATGTATATTTGAATTAAAATGTCTGAATACAATATTAAAAACAATTTATTTGTACTACTGTTAGTAAAAAAATACTTGGAAATGCAGCTATACCAGATGACTTCTAGCATCAAAATTACATATATTTCTGTATATATTCTTTCTACTTGGCCTTGTTTATTAATAGGACTTATTACTACACCAGTATAATAAGTTCTATTAATAAACAAGGTCTAAGTAGACAATATATATACAGAAATGTAAAACGGTAAGTACTGTACATAGAGGGAAAAAAATTAAAATTACATACAGTTTACTAGTGTTAAAAAGTATATAATGAAATATTTAGTAAGCAGTTAATACTTTTTCACTTAAATTGCTTTTTCAGAAATACAATTATAATTGTAATTAGAATGGCTTTTAACCTATCCCATGTTGAAAATTTTTTCCATTGTGTGTGGCCGCCATGTTGAATTTTTGTCGATGTTAAGCCTAACAAAAATTTTTAAAAAATAACTCAGTTTGTTTCAAAATTACAAACACACCCAACTTTTTTCAATAACAAAAACATTAACAATTATAATGTATTATTATATTAGTATATTGTTTACAACATCAATTTAAACATTTTCTGAAATTTTTAGAGCAATCTGACAATTACCAAAAAATCACAGATATTTTCAATTTTTGATTGTTTCAATATTTTGTAGGTCCACCATTTGATTTAATTAGTTCAGATACTCTATCAGGCATACATTTTATTAGTTTTTGAAGTTGTTCTTGTTTAATATTTTCCCAACAATCCATGATAGCTAATTTCAGTTCATTTACTGTATTGTATTGTCTGTTTTGGCCATAAACTCATAAGCCCCAAACATTCTCTATCGGGTTCATATCAGAGCTCCATGATGGCCAATCAATTACTTTATATTTTTCAGCAAACCAATTTTTAGTTGACTTTGATATATGAATGGCAGCATTATCCTGTTGGAATTGCCAATTTTCTCCTCCAATAAGTGATCCAAAAGTTATTAAATTTTGATAAAACAGTTCTTGATACTTTTCTGAATTCATTCTATCTTCTATAAATACAATATCTATTTTTTCCTCCCCATCCAAATCCTGCCCACACATCACATATCCTCCACCTTGCTGTTTGCTCATTCTGACTTCTTTGTTCTTCCTCAAATCATGCCAGTAATGACTATAACTGTCAGGTCTATCTAAATTCCACTTTTTTTCATCTGAAAAGACTATTTGTTTCCACTCCTCTTTCCATATCATCTTGTCTTTGCCCACTTTAATCTAGTTGTTTTGTGCAATTGTGTTAATTTCGGTTTGGCAGTCATTTTTGTAAATTTGGCATTTTTATAACTATTCATACATCTCCATACAGTTGCTGGTGAAACTGCAATTGGCAATGTTGATGCTTCTTCTCTGACAGACAACTTGTTGACCGTCAGTAGCTGAAAAACCTTTCTTTCATTTCTAGGTGTAAGGAGTTCAGGCCTTCCACATCACTTATTTTTGACATAATTTTCACCCTGAGTTAACACATTTCTCATAGCATGTGTAGATCGATTTATAACTGCCAAAATTCATCTTAGAGATTGTCCCGATCCTTTTACTTGGTAAATTTCACGTATTGCCAACTCTGTTAGTGTTTTTCCATGAGGCATTGTTTTAAATCACAAAAACTGTTTAAAATTGGTGCCACATTTTTAATAATGAGTGATACTCCGCTCTGGTGACAACTAATTAAACCAATAATTAATAAAAAATTATTATATTAATTTTATGCACCTGTGTTTATACTTTTGAAACACTCAAAAATTGAAAATCTGTGATAATTTTTTTGTAATTGTCAGATTTCTCTAAAAATTTCAGAAAATGTTTAAATTGGTGTTGTAAACAACATACTAATATAATAAATACATTACTATAGTTAATGTTTTTGCTATTGAAAAATGTTGGGTGTGTTTATAATTTTGAAACAGACTGTAATCGTGGCTACTGTATCATTAAAAATTATTTTGTTATTTTGCACAAGCAAAATAAATATATTGAAAAATATAAAAACAAAAAAATATATATTTCAAAAGTTTGTTTTAATATAAAAATTATTATGCATAGTGACGTCTAGTATCAAAAACATTTCAATGCAGAAACAAGTACATTCAGGGTCAACAGGTTAGGTCAAATGAGGTCAACACGAAAATACTCAGGAACAACACGGGACAGGTTAAAGCACACTAAAACACAAGAATTCATATTAAATATTTTGTTTCTTTCTCTTTCTTTTTTTATAGTAAAATAATCAAAACAAAAATAGTAATAAATATAGAGCTCTGTAGAATTATTTTTAAAATTATGATTTAAATATAAAATAAAAATAACTGTTTATATAAGATCATTTTAAAATTGTCTCAAAATATTAAGATGATTTAAAAATATATTTCACATGTAATTTTAATAAATAAAAACATTATTCTAAACTTGGTAAATATCCTTTTACAACGGTGATGGTTGTACATATGTCAACAAAACATCAGATAATGAAGTATTTGTGATGATGCAGACAATAAGGTAGGCTTTGCAGTTTCAAGATGGAATTAAAAAAAGAGAGTTGAATTTGTTAAATGAGTTTGAAACCTTGTGTGAAAGGAAAATTTTATTTAAAAACTACATACAAACTAAAAATAAATGTTTTTTAATACTGTATATGTACATTTTTATGGTTGTATAAGTATAAATACAACAAAAAATAAACACAAATATATATTTTATTTATTGAAAATACTTTCTTTTATTGTATGATGTCTAGGTAATTTTATTGTGAAAAATTTCATTAGAAATAATTTTATTTTTAATGAAATTTTCTATGCAATGAATTTTTCTCTTAGAATTTAGTAATTTCAGTAAATGGAAGTTCTACTGTACATAAGCTATGCACTATGAATAAACTTTGATGATACTTTCATAACACTATCTATTTTGAATTTGCAACAATAAACAAGAACCAATTAATAATTCATTTCCTCAGTTATTTATGGCATTTACGTACCTGAATATTAAATTTTGTTGCATTTATATAAGGATATACATAAAATATCAATTGATCAAATAGGCTATGTATGCTAGTAGTTACTTACATAATTCTGATCTTAATGTACTAAATTATAGAGAAAAAATATGAAAAGAACTCAGTTGAAGATTATATAATGTTCTTGAAATACAAAGGCAAGTCAAACAAAAGAATGAATTTTTTACTCATGAAATGCAGCAGGCAAGATCCAAGTTGATATATTTTTAGAATAGTCTCTGTTGAATTGTATACATTTGACCTAACATGTCTGCCAGTCCTGGAAAACATTCTGAAACCCATCTTTTGCTATCCTCTTTAGAATGGCCCAATGGCCATTGATGAAATGAAATACTGGCCTCACAGCTCCGATTTCAGATAAAGGAACAAAAACATAGTTACACCAAGCATGGTCTAGACTGTATAGAGCAGGGGTGGCCAACAAGTCAATTGCAAAACCAATTTTGGTTGATCGCTCGCAATGTCTTGACTTAATGTGTTACACTTGTAAGTTGTAACTGAATGCAACGTGTGAACGTAATGCGCAAATGCAACTGTAGTGATATCGGACCTCTCCATTCTCCCTCGGATGCAGTTTTGTCAGTCTATGTACAATCCATTTGTGTACAGTTGTAAAAGGGGAATAAGAAATGTAGACAAAGGGTCGTAAAACCAAAAATAAGAAGGGACAGAGAGAGTAGGTCGGGACACTGTAGAGAGAGGAAGGGTGTAGTGGTGGTCCCCGAAAGTGACAACGTTGAGTTTCAATTTATCTTCTGTTTAAAATGTAAGTACCTTTTCTTTGTGTTTTAAATTAAATTGTGGCTTTTCTTATCTATCTAAACATAGTACATATTTCACATCTCCCTTCCCCTTGCCACTTAGACCAGGGATGGACAACCTTTTCTTTGTAAGGGCTGCACTTCAAAACTTTTGAACTGATGCAGGCCGCATACAAGATTTTTGAGGGGGGGAAATGCCGGTAAATCACAATTATTTATTCACATATAATTATAAATTAGAATAGGTATACTTAATTTAGCTTCTAGAACTGATGTAAATGTAATGTATCAAAAATATTTGATTAAATATTAGTCATTGCTAGTTTTAAATTAGTTTCGAGGTGAGTCTGTTAGCCAGTTTCTCGTTTTAATTTTTACTAAATTCATTGCAGGAAAAACTATTCACATACATAAGTTGTAGAAAATAACGTTTGAATTTTTGCTGCATACTTCTTAAGATAGGACATTGATATATTTATACACATTTTGTGCAACTTGGGTCGCGGGATGCCCATCCCTGACTTAAACTATGCCTATGGCAACAAGTCAATCACAACACATTTTAAAGATAAAAAGTAGATCTTATGTACTGTACACAAAAGTTGGCCACCCCTGGTATAGAGGGTGTAGCACACATTCAATATTTGATTGTTTTATACACATTTCCTGTGGCCAAAGAAAGCCAAGGAAGGAAATGATTTCCTTCCTCGACTACCATGGAATGGTCTAGTAACATGAAGTCCCCTGCATACAATGGTTACTGGGCAGTATTACATGACAGTTTTGAAGACCATGGCCAAACATATCTGATGAAAAGCCTTGAGCAGCTCTTGTCTATCTGGTGGTGCCTACACCTCAGTAATACAGCCCTCGTGTTGCCATTGTTATTGCCCAGTATTTGGCTTGACAAAACATCAAATGTTTGCCCATACCCTCTATACAGCCTGAATCTTGCTCTGTGTGACTGTTTTTGTTCCCTCATCTGAAATTGGAGCTATGAGGTCAGTGTTTTGTTCATCAACAGCTGAAGAGGTGGTTCTGAAGACTGTCACAAGACAGGTTCCAGGATTTGCAGAGACATATTTCAACACTATGTTTTATCTTATGTAAGTTAATTAAATAAAGTATAAATATTCTTTTTGTATAAAGTTGTCCTGCTTCAAAAAACCAAGATTATTATTTGTAATAGGAATTACAGCTGTAAAATTTATTTTTTGATTAATGAAATTAAAATCATTTTATTAATTATAATCAATTTCTGCTAATAGATCGGACATGATAATTGGGTTAGAGGATTGAAGTTTCATCCTGGTGGTAAATATATTGTAAGTGCATCAGATGATAAAACTTTAAGAGTTTGGGATATAAAGAATAAACGGTGCAGTAAAACGTTAGAAGCACACAGTCATTTCTGCACTTCAGTAGGTAAGAACATTTTTTTAAAATTTATAATAAATACATTATATTGTCTTAATAACAAAAATAATAATAATAAATAAATAATTAAATCTTTTACTTGTAGACTTTCATCATAATGCTCCTTTTGTCATCAGTGGCAGTGTTGATCAAACTGTTAAAGTATGGGAATGTCGTTAGCCGGAAAAAAACTGATTGGAAGGTGATAGCAGCTCACTGAACTCTTTTTGTGTCAAACTACTTTTACATAAAAAGGCTAATATTGATAACTAAATTTACAGCATGATTTTTGTCCTGTGAATTGATATGTTGCTTGTATAATGGCCAACATTACACAGATTTTGTGGCTTGTGTTACCTTACCACATATTTCACTGGATTATAGGCAGCAGTGATATTTGTACAGTGTTTTAATTTAATTTGTGTAATAATTTTGCCAAACATGTTTGCCAGACAATTATTTAATTGTAGGCATACTAGGCAAACTAAATTAATGACTTAATAGTTATAAATGTTAGTGATGTTTTGTTAGTGTTATACTCTGCAATGTTAGAGGTTAGGGAAATAGAAGAGATTTGAGGTTAATTCCGTCTTGCATCTATGCAATTCGGAAGTGACGTATCTAAAAATTGATTCATCGATCAACTCAAAAAATATTGGACTCACAACCTGTACTTTTATTTTGTACAGGTTTGACAGATTGAGATTGCTTATTTCTTTCACAGCTTTACTCTTTCTTTTATTCAGTTAAGAGAGTAGTTAAAGCTTTAAGAAAATAATTTAAAATAATTTTATTAAATAAATTTATCTTAGCAGTTAAACCAGGAACTAAATTTATTTCCAAATATTTTCAGTTGTTTTTAATTTTTCCCTGTATGGGTGTAAATGGAAAGTCATTTTCAGACAATTTGAGGAGTTGTGTGAGTGTATGTATATAAATATATATGTATCATTAGTTAAATAATTCTGTGCAAATAATAATCTAGTTCTTCTAATGTTGCACAGTTTAGTCTGCTGCGTAATAATTTTAGCATGAATATCTTAACTGTTAAAAATTGGCTTTAAATGTGATAAGTTATGAAAAAAAAAAATATATATATATATATATAAATATATATACAATATGTATTTGTGGTACTTCCAAAAAGTGAGAGATGTAAATCAGTTGATTCACATTGTATAAAATTCCTAATAGCAAGTCAAGCAATTGTCTGACTGTTTCCAGTGCTGAGTTATATTTCTGGTCAGACTATTGTGTATTATCACTTGTAGTATGAATGGATTTGAATATTATAGGTTGATTAAAATCTTACCTAATTCTCTTCCAAGCTCTGTATTGTACATTGCAAGAAAACTTTTTGTGATTTGAATTATTAAACTTGTTATGATGGAAATAAATTGTAATTGATCTCATTTGTGTTCCTTATTTTGTAGTTATTTTTTTTTTATTTAAAGTAAATAAAACTATGTTCCATATAACACTTAAGATATTTTTAAAAATTTGCATATATCTAAGAAAATTATATAAATTATAATATTGTTTGAAAAGAAGTCAAAAATTAACCATATTGTTATTGTAAATCACTATAATTGTCTAAATGCAATATATTTTGCCCTAATGAAGTCTTTATAGCAGAATTTGTCATAAAATTTAAAGAAAACATTAATTGGAATATATCACCAAAAACACGAAGCATCTTACTAAAATGGTATTTTGTATAAAATTCTTTAAAGATGTTTTTCAAATATGTTTATTATTCTAGTTTGTAATTTGAATTTTATTAAAATTAAATAATAAAAGATAACAAGTCTGATAATACTTTTCAGAATATACTTTAAACAAAAAAATTAATGTATTTTCTTAGCACAATGTTGCCATTGAGAACATATCACACAGGAAACATTTTCAGAGGAAAAAAGTTGTTTTATTGGTGTGAATGGATATGCATTTTGTGCTTAACGCCCTTCTTCAGTCCTATTATTACATATTTATCAGTAAATTGATTACAGGTTTACAAATTTACAGAATGCATTGAAAAAATTAGGATATGCATACAATGGTTTATATAATAAAACTTAATTACCTGAGATAGTGACAGTTAAACCAACATGACTCGTAAGAAGATATACATGTAGTTGAAAAAGGAATAAAGGAGCTAAAAATTCTTTTGGTTCCACACATATACACATTAGAATAGTATAACATGTGCTAAAATAAAAAAGGGGTGAACTTAAATCTAAAATTAAGTATATATTAAGAGGTAGAATTTTTAAAATAATGGAATACCTGTAGGGTGTGAAATAATTCTGATGAGATGTACAGGAACATAGACAAGATATGAGAGGTTAAAAAGAAGTGAATAATCCTTGTAACATACACTGAAAGTTTGGTGTGCCTTGCACAGTGGGGTATGATGGAGGGTGGTAGAACATCTTAATGGGCTTTGCTACTTAAGAATGGCTGCCAGATGTCATTTATGACTACACCTGTATTTAAGTTCATTCTGTGTGTTTCTTTAATTTTAATAATTTCAATGTGTTCATAAAATTTTCTTTTAATAATATTTTCTCTTTTAAGTATTTTGATGCTGTTGAGTGAGATCTTGCAGCAAGTTTTGTTGCAATGAGTGGCAACTGCAGAGTTGGTGTAATTATACTTTACGGCTCTTATATGTTCTTTTATATGGGTTTTTAATGCTCTGCTAGTTTCACCTATGTAATAGTATTTAGGATAACACATACAAACAAAGCTGTAAACAAGATTATTATTTAATAAAATGTCTGTGTTACTATTAGTTTGTTCTTTGGTTTTTAAGGAATTTTTGATTTTATTGTTTAGTATGGGTACTAAAATGATATTATATGGTGTTAATATCCTTTGGATGTTTTCAGAAATAGTAGGGATATAATCTAAACCTTTTTCCTTTTTCAACTACATGTATATCTTATGAGTCATGTTGGTTTAACTGTCACTATCTCAGGTAATTAAGTTTTATTATATAAACCATTGTACGCATATCCTAAATTTTTCAATGCATTCTGTAAATTTGTAAACCTGTAGTCAATTTACTGATAAATATGTAATAATAGGACTGAAAGGGGCATTAAGCCTGAAATGCATATCTGTTCACACCAATAAAACAACCTTAACAATATGTAAATTTTTCGACTATAAATTTGACTTTCATCTATTATCAGGACTTATTATACTGGTTTTACAGATAATATTACAAAGATTAACAGAAAACAATTTTCATTTTATTTCATATACAGGTATACGAAATAAAATAAAAATTGTTTTCTGTTAATCTTTGTAATATTATCTGTAAAACCAGTATAATAAGTCCTGATAATAGATGAAAGTCGAATTTATAGTCGAAAAATTTACATATTGTTAAGGAAAAAAAGACATTGAGGCAATTTAATTAAAACAACCTTTTTCCTCTGAAAGTGTTTCCTGTGTAATATGTTCTCAATGGCAACATTGTGCTAAGAAAATACATATAATAGAGAACAAAAAGCAACCAAGATTTTTAAAAAATTCATTTACTTTTATAATTTTCAATGAATAAAATTTTAACAATTTAGAGACTACTCAAGTGATGATTATATACTGAATGTGAATATTTATTTTACATATTTTTGTCTAATTATTTACAAAAGTCAGAAGTTGAAATCTTTCATGTATTTATTTCTTTTTGTCATTTCCAAAGGAAAAGAGAACTTAATTCAAAATTTTTTATGAAAGTAAAATTTACATTATCAAAATGTAGAAGCATTCTAAATGTGTAGCTCTTCAATAATAATAATAATAATTTAGAGTTTATCATTAGTGAATTCTTCAAATTTTTCCATTCAAAAAATATTTCAGTTAATTAAAGAAACTTGATATATTTGGAACTTTATATTATTATTATTATTTATTTGAAATATCAAAGAATTTCTTTTACAGATAAGACCTTTTGAATAAAAACTAAGGTACCTTAAACTTTGTTGATTTCTCCTTTTGTGTAAAATTTCTATTTAATTATTTCATATTTATAATCTTTTCAGAAAGGATGTTAAATCAATATAAAATGTAAAATAGGTTACTATTTTGTATTTTAGTATTAGCATCCAATATTATTTAATTTCATGTTGCCTTTATATAAAATTTACAAATTTCTGAAATTCTTACCATAAAAATTTTGTATTAAATATTTTTGAACTTTTCTCCCCTCTTATATATGTAAAGATTTATTTTATTTCTTCAAAGAAGAAAACTAAAAAAATATGGTCTTTAAAAAAGTTAATGAACAAATATGAAATTATGTGTACACATTCACACCTACCTACATATGAGGGCAGTTTTTTCCAATCTCTGATGGTCCACAAAACAAAGACAAGTGTAAATAACAAAATTAATTTATTATCAAAAGTTAGCAGGACTGTTGAGTCGTGTAAAAATCTACCGACTCCGACTCCGACTTTTCCTTACCAATCCGACTCCAACTCTGGCTAAAACACCAAAACTCCACGACTCCGACTCCGACTCCACAATCCTGCCAAGGCTGTGGAGTCGCGTAAAAATCTACTGACTCCGGCTAAAACACCAAAACTCCACGACTCCGACTCCACATCCCTGAAAGTTAGGTACATACATGGTTACTTTTCAACATAATCACCGTGAAGATTGAGGAATTTGTCATATCTGTGGACAAGTTTTTCCATCCCCTTGTCATAAAATGTTGCCGCCAATGAATTGAGATGGCCTTAACAACAATGTTTTGAAGATCATCATTAGTTTATTAGTCTCAAACCTCTGCTCTGCTTAGTCACGTTTTCAGTTTGGGAAAGAGGTGGAAGTCTTCACCACCTTTAAATACCCAGTGTATAGCCCCAATTTAGTGCTGAGCAACTTCCATCTCTTTCCTGAACAGGAAAAGTGGCTAGGAAGACAGAGGTTCGAGACTAATGACGATCTTCAAAACGTTAGGGCCCATCTCATTGGCAGCAACATTCTATGAAGAGGGTATGGAAAAGCTTGTCCACAGATATGACAAATGCCTCAATCTTCACAGTGATTATGTCGAAAAATAACCATGTTTGTACCTAACTTTTTGTAATAAATTCATTTTGTTATTTACACTTGTCTTTTTTTATGGACCATCGGAGCTTGAGAAAAAAGCAGCCTATGTATATATTGATACATGCATATAATAGCACAAATACAAATTAGCTTAATTTTATTTTCTTAGCACAATGTTGCATTTGGAACATATCACACAGGAACACTTTCAGAGGAAAAAGGTTGTTTTATTGGTGTGAACGGACTGAAACTTTCAGTGTATGTTACAAGGATTACTCACTTCTTAACCTCTCATATCTCGTCTATGTTCTCAGTACATCTCATCAGAATTATTTCGCACCCTACAGCACATGTTATGCTATCCTAATGTGTATGTGTGTGGAGCCAAAAGATCTTTTGGCTTCTTCCTTTTTCAACTATGTGTATATCTTCTTAAGAGTTGTGTTGGTTTAATTGTTACTATCTCAGGACTGAAGAGGGGCGTTAAGCCCGAAATGCTTATCCGTTCACACCAATAAAACAACCTTTTTCCTCTGAAAGTGTTCCTGTGTGATATGTTCTCAACAGCAACATTGTACTAAGAAAATACATATAATAGAGAACAAGCAACCAAGATTTAGCTTAATTTTCCTTTCATTTTATATATTTCTCTGGCTAATAATAAGTTCTTACACAGAGTTCAACACACTTTAAGAAGTACTGCTAGAATATTCTGATAAATGTATGCTTTTCACTACTACAGGATTTTTGTCTTTTCACTAAAATGTAAGTGACAACTTTTGCTTGATTAATTGCTTACTTAACATAAGATGTCAGCACAATAAACCTGTATGGTTATGTTTATGTCCATTACACATAGGTCTGATCTGTAATAGAGTTGGTTATATATGTGAATGATTGGAAATAATGTCCCAACCTATATTTAAGTGAGATTAAGTTCAGTTGGAATTGAGAGAAAATATTTTATCAACAAATTCATTAAAACTGTGTTAAAGCATCACAAGAATTAACAGACCTCTACAGTCCATAAATTGATATTCCAAATTTTCCAAAAAAATTCTCTTGAAATAACTTTGCCAGCAATATTCTTTATTTCCTGAAACATGTTTGGTTGTTCTAGCTGCCATCATCAGATTCAAACAAAAATTATAAAATGGAATGCTCAAATTAGTATTAAATTAAATACATAAAAACAATTTGGAATGTAATGAGCATACAAACAGTTGGAAATAAATTACAAAAAATAATAAAATTATGCCATTTTGTATAGCTCACAGGATGTATTTTCATGTAGATAAAAGACAAAACAATGGTTAAAATTGTTGAAAAGTTAACCATATTTGCA